GTTGCTCCAAGCCCCGTCCAACCTGGCCTTGGACACTTCCAGGGATGGGGCAGCCACAGCTTCTCTGGGCAACCTGTGCCAGGGCCTCCCCACCCTCACAGGGAAGAATTTCCCCCCAATATCCAATCTAAATCTCTCATCTTTAAAGCCATTCCCCCTGTCTGCCCATGTAAAATTCATCACTACTAAATTGATTTATGCCAAAAGACGCAGAGCCCCCTGCCTGACATGCTGCTGCCCAGATCAACAGGTTGGGCTCAGACATCTGACACTGGTGTGGAGGGCATTGTGCAGCATTTGTCAGGCCACACTGGCAAAAAGCGAGTCCGGGGTGGGTCTGGACTTCAGGCAAATAGATTTTGGGTAATTAAGTGAGGGGAACTTCTCTCCAGTGTACCCACTCGGGCTGCCTGCCTGGCAGTCTCCCCTCCACATGCCACTCGGTGAAGAACACCAAGGCACTTGGCACATGTTACAGAGCAAAGCTGAGGCTGGGCAGGCTGGGCTGGGCTGTGATGTGGGTGGGATGTCAGGCTGGGTCCATGGAGCACCAGGTGCGAGGGGGACTGTCTCAAGGTGATGTCCTTGGATTTTCCATGAAGTTTTCTGGGAGACTTGAGCTTAGATAGGGAGGAGCAGTGCCAGCTTTTGGCAGCTGTTGGCAAGGATGTCTCACACAGCATGATTCCGTGCTGCCCTGCTCCTGGGCAAGTCAGAACAGCCAGCTAATTAGAGGGAAATTTAAGGCTCGTTAGGCTGGAAGAGCCTCGTGGAGTGCTGTGGGAGTGGGGAATGGAGTCTGGAAGGAGACACCTGTGCCATGGCAGCTGTTCTGGAGCGAAAATAAAAGTAATCCTCCTGGGCAGCACAACAGGACCCTGTGTATTCTCAGCATGTGTGGAATCCTGCGGGTCTGCAGGGTGTTGAAATAGGGATTAACCAGATCCCGTGGCTGCAGGTCAGTTAGGAAAAAGTTTTCCTGTTGGCTTGGAAGAAATGCCTCAGCTCTTCTGCAGCAGGGGCAGCTGGAGGTGAAGACTCAGCCCGGACAATGTGATTTATCATCACTGTGTCCCTTCACAGCACGGGCAGCTGAGTTCTCAGCTGGTGACAAGGCACTGCTTGGCATTTTCCTTGGCAAAGGAGGAGAGTGAATCCCTGGCTGGAGCTGTGCCTGGCAGTGGCACTGACCTGGCTGGGTTGTCACCATAGCACTGGGGTTGCATTTCAGTGTAGGGCAGCTGCTTCTCCCTTTGCCCCAGATGCTGTGGAGTCATGGATTGAAGTGGGAGGGCAGGACAGCCTTGGCAGAGGAACAAAGAAAGGCTGGAGCTGCTTAGCTCAGGGGAGACTAAAACTTGGGTTGTGGTAATACAATAAAATGTCCCCAGTGGAGCTTCTTCCCTTTCTCATGTGCTCGTTTAATGAAAATGAAAGTGATCTTAAGGCAGCCAAAGGAAACACGGGTCTGCAGCTCCCCAGCTGAACAGCTGAGAGAGACCTGCTTGAGGGCAGGAGGTGAGAAGGGGGTGGATAAACACACCTATGACTATGGAGGGGATGCTACAGGGCTATGCTTGAAGTCTTCTCTGGTTTTGGGGCCAGTTGAGTGCTGTTCCAGACCCGACTAAGCCTTCATCCTCTCACCAGGGCTTTCCAGTCCCTTGAGCATATCAAGAACTGAGAGTCTGCCTGTACAGCTGAGCATCACTCCTGCTGTGGACTGTCCTTTACCTGTGTTCTCAAGCCATTTGTGTCAGTTCTCAGGCTGGAAAGTGGATGGACAATTTTAGTAAGAGCAGCCAATTTCTATCGTTAGGCCTTTTTTGACAAAGAACTCTTCTTCTTCGCTACCATCAAAGGTATTTGTGCTGAAATGCCTTGACTTTGGGATTGGTACAATGCTCTTGCTCCAGAGTGTGCCTGGAACAGGCTGCTGCTGCTGAGCAGCTCGTCCTTCTTAACCCCCTGTGTGTTTATTCTGCATCTCTGGGTGTTGTTGGTCTCGTTTTCTTGGTCTTGTTACTCTCCAGTAACAGGATGCGAAATGCAACCTTAGTGACTGGGCTGCAGTCAGAAAAACTTGGTGGTCGGAGGGGAAGAAGAGAAATCTGCTGTAGTGAGCCCTGATTCCTGGCAGATTGGCTGCAGATATTACACCCCAGGGTACCAGCAGAGAGGCTGCTTGTCCCTGCTGTTGGGAGTCTGGAGGTGACCTCCCTGGAGAGCCACTGCCTTCAGGTGGTAGCAGGAGCTTCTCCAAGCAGAGGGGTTTCAGGAAGTTTTCTGCTGGGTGCTCACATGGTCAGGGACTGTGGCAGTGCTTTTTCCTTGTGCTGCTCCTCTGCAGAGGGGACACATGGGACAGGGTGCCTGGAGAAAGGCCAGGGCAATAATGGCATCTCCCAGCCTCGTGCAGGTGAGGGTCAAGGAGCAGCTGTGCCCTGGAATGGCAGTGGGAGGCTGGAAGCAAAATTGTAGCTGAGTGGTGACACCTCGGGGAGAGTCATAATGCTTTCTCTCCCATCACCTCCCTGGAGGTTAGCCCCTCTCCCCTGTTATGAGCCTGTTCTCTCCTGCTATGGAGCATTTTGGGGGTGATGCTGAGTTGGTTTGAAGCCTGTCTCAGCTGTGGTTGTGTGTCAGAGGAGGGGATTTCAAAAGCCTTTCAGCTCATCTCCCCCATTCGCTGCCATAACCAGTGAGGGGGTTTCCTGTGACAGGGACCTGATGACAGCCTGGAGCTGTCTTTTCACCCAGGCTGGTATCAGAGGCTTCTTGGCAGAGTGTGCCAGGGCCAAGAGGGCCCTGGGGACTGGAAATCCTCTTCCTTCCCTCCCACAGCTTCTGTAATACAGCTGTGGGCTCCTGCTGTGGTCTGTGCTGTGCTTTATCTCATCGATGAGGGAGAGTCACGTGCTTCCAGTTCGTTACTGAGCACGGGCTGGTGAGTAGGGGTGGCCCTAAAAGATGAAATGCAAATGCTCAGTGTCTGAATCAGTTCTTTAACTTCACTCAGACAACAGCCCTGTGCAGTGTATGGGGGGACTCTTCATGCTGGGCCCCTGGGGGTAGGTGATGTCCTGCAGGGAACAACCAGCTTGATGAAGGGGAAAGGAAAGTCTCTAGCCCAGCCCCTGCTAAGAGCAGGTCCCTTAGACCAGGTCATTCAGGGCCACATCCAGTGGAGATTTGGGTATCTATTTTGCACCCTCTTTGGCCCCATGTTCAAGGTGTCATCACCCACAGGGTGAATGTTTGGCTCTAATAACTAAGGCAGAAGTTCTTTTACTGCAGATTATCCACTGCTTCTTGTCCCATCAGTGCAAAACTTTGAGGAAAGTCTGGCTCTGTCCTCTGTGTAACCTCTTGTTGGGTGTCTGGAGTTGGCATAAGGATCTCCCTGAGAGGCACCAGCTTCTCCTTGTATGTCTTACCACGTGCTCCAGCCCCTGACTGTCTTGCTGGACTCACTCCTGTGACTCTGTGCCTTTCTTTCCTGGGGCCCCCAATGTGAACACCAGCTCCCAGGTGTGCTGCTGCAGGTGCCAGGTGGAGCCCTGGGATCCCTTTCCCAGACCTTCTGGCTGTGACCTTGCACCACACAGGAGGTGTTTGACCATCTCCACTCCAGATTTGTGCCACTACTCCACTCACCCACCAGGTTGCCGCAAGACTTTTTCAGCAAAGCTGCTTTCTGACCACTGGGGCTCGTCCATCCCAGGTGCAGGGCTTTGTATTTGCCTCTGTTGAATTTTGGGGGCTTCCTTGCAGCCTGGTGAGGTCCCTCTGAGGAGCAGCCCTGCCTACCACTGTTCCTACTGCCCCACTGACACATGTTAAGCAGCTTTGGTTCAGTTCAAGGCTCCAGGCACCTCTCTGCAGAGCTCAAAGTGGGTAAGGAATTAACTTTACCACCCAAATGGGGCAAGTGCCAAGGGCTGGGTGCCATCTCATGTGCTGCTGTTGCAGTCAGGCTCAGCTGATCCCAAGGCCTCTCCTGGGACAGGAGAGCTGTTAACCCATCCATGTTCTCTGGGTTTTGGCAGCAGTGCATATTGTTATGTGGAGATATCTCTGTGTGCCATGGTCACACCAACATCACACGTACTCAGGATCAGCAGCTGCCTTGGCCCGAGTTTGAAAACATCCCAAGGAGGGCATTGCTTGGTGAATCTTTGAGCTGTGCACAAATAACTTTCTGTCTTGGCTCCTGGCTGCCTGAATCCTTCCTTTTCCTCTTACCAGAATTGAGTGCTGATGGAAGTAGCCTTTTCCTGCCCTCCTGGCATGTGATTCCTGAGACAAGAGCCAGCCCTCTGCTCGCAGATGCCAGAGGGATGCCAAGGCTTGGGGGGTGGGGCATGTTAAAAATACACTGCTTGTCTAACAAAGCTCAGCTTCAGGTTCAGCTGCTGCTCCTTTCCTTTCATCTGGGTCCTGCTGGTGCTTGATCCATTGGGAGTTGAGCTGCTGTGCCCTGGCTGCTTGCTCCACAGGGAAGTGGGGGATGTGGTGTGGTGTCACTGGTTCACCCACATTTGGTCTTTCCATGGAACCTTGTAGCTAACAGAAGGAGAATTTTCCCTGAAGGGCTGGTCCTGTCCAAGGTCTGAGCCCAGGCCTGAGGAGGGGACAGGGTGTGAGTGACCTTTTCCATCTCGTGTCCTTGATCTTGCCCTGGACACGTGGCCTCTAACAGGAGCCCTAAATCTTTGTGCTTCCTGAAGCCAGGTGGAGGTGGGTTTCTTTCAGCTTTGTCCCTCCCAGGCTTCAGGGTGAGCACCATGTCCTTCCCCCCTCCTCAGGATGGCGAGGGCCTGGCTGGGACCTCTGCCTGCCACCAGAACAGCTGGGCACTGAAACAGGCAGTTCCTGCTTCCAGCTCGTGACTCTGCCTAAGTTCCCACCCAGGGAGGTGACAGCTTTGTGTGTGCCCCCTTGCAGGAGCCCACAGTGGTCTGCTGTGACAGCCAGGAAAAGGGTCCACCTGGATCCTTTCCACAGGGATTGTGGAGCCCCATCACAGACCAGAACCAAAGCCCAGGCTGATCTTGCCAAATCAGTGCCTGAAAACAGCTTCATGGAGCGCTTTGGGCTTGGGCTGCTGGGACTAAAGGGCACCAAAGATGGTTTGAGAAGCTGGAGCAGAACCTGTCTGCAGGTCAGGGAGTGAATGAGAATGTGGAGCAGACAGAGAAATGGGAAAATAGGTCAGGCTGCAAACACAAAGGGATATTCTTCATCTGCAGTGACGTGCATGGCTCCCAACTGCTCTGACCTGCACGTTCCAGACGGGATCCGTGGGGATTAAAGCAGCGGGGACTCGATTTGGGACCTGCCAGCAGGGAGGGACCAACATGCCAGGGCCCCACTGTCCCTTGCCACTCTTGCAGTCCTTTAACCTGGCAGCTGGGGAGCAGTGAGGCTCTGGAGGGGAACACCTTAAAGGTGTTTGGGCTGTGCTCAGTGACAGCGCTGCTCACACCCTCGTGCATCCCTGTGTTTCACAGTGAGCAGGGACAGCAGCTGCCTGCTCCCCCCAGTCCCCTCATGGCACTGCCCAGCTGGGGGCTGGCTCAGCTGCAGCCCGAGCCCCTGCCTGTCTCAACCAGGAGACAGAGTTGCCTCAAATAGCCCAAAAACTCCTGCGTTATGCAACCGCACTGCCAGTAAGGAGCCCGAATGGTCACCAGCGAAAGGAGAACCTGCTCTTCGGAGGGAGATGCAGATGCTCCTTCCCAGCATTGCACTGGGGCCGACTCAGGAAGGCACTGATGTCCCCGAGGCTCTGCCCACTTCCTCTGGTGTCTGCTGGCTGGCAGCCAGCATGGCTGTCACTCCACGCCCGGCTGCTCCAAGGGTGGCAAACACACTGCTCATCCCCCCGGCTGGGAACCGCTGCCCTGGAGCAGATGGCAGAGCCAGATGTGCCCTCAGCCATCCTTCACTGCTGGCTGGGCTTGTGGCTGTGGAGGTGGGGCTTTGTCCAGAGGCTCTGTCCCTCCCCAGCCCCAGGGCAGCGTGGAACGTGTCGCTGGGCACTGCGCTCTGTGGCTGGAGGTTTGTGGTGGCCAGCCCTGAATGAGCTGCTCCTGGCTGGCACCTTCCCCATGTGAGCTGGCTCTGCCAGCTGACAGGTTGGAGCAGCTTGCCCAAATCCCAACAGGCTGCTGCTGGCTTTGGTTCCCTCTGGGATGGTGGGTTCCACCTCCTCAGTGTGTGCTCTGAGAGCAGGATGCTGTGTTTTGGGGGGGCTCTGGCAGTGGGCAGACAGGCAGAACTCAGTGTGGGAGGTAGAGCAGGAGCATCTTGCATGCCTGCTCCTTCCTCTTGCTGAGACTTGCAGTGCATTCAGGAATTGACCTCATTTTCCCTTCTGTCCTCAGCTCACTCCTTCCTCCTTCCTGCGCATCGGGCAGCTGAGCAATGTGGACCTCAACGAGGACATCCATGAGCTGGTGAGTGGCACAGGGAGGGTCTACTCTTGCTGAGACACCTTCCCTTCTTCCACTAACAGCTGCTGTTATTCCCCCCTCACATCCTGCTTGTTCCATGGGGACTCTGGTGCTTCTTCCTGGGCTGGGTGACCTTCATGGCATGGGCAGCTCCTGCTGCCCCGGGGGCCCCTCTGGCATCCTCAGTAAATGCTCTAATTCGGAGCTGGGAACAGCTTGAACAGTCAAAGGCGTTTGGGAAAGGGAGTTTGATTTCTGCCCAAAAACATGGACATGCTTGAAATAGCTCCTTGCCTTTGGCCAAAGGAATTTCCTGCCGAGGTGAAAGGTTGCTCTCCCTCAGGGCACGGAGCTGCTCAGAGGCAGTACTGGGTCAACATGGCTGGGCAAACCCTCCACCTGCTCCTGGAGAGACATCCTGCCCGAGGGGTGGAGAGGTACTGGGTGAGGGTGCACACCTGACAGCTGGTCCAGCTGCATTAAACTGGCGGAAAATCATCCGAGATCCCGGCCTGCCAGCCAGCTTGCACCTACAGTCCTCCCTGAGCATAAAAACAAGTTAAAACAGCAGTTGCACAGCATAGGGGAGGGTTGGACTCAGACCTCACCATCCTAACGCGTGCATCACATCCCACAGCAGACAGAGCTCCCTCGGCAGCGTCCCAACGAGATCCCCCACAATGAGAAGCTCCTGTCGCTCAAGTACGAGGTGAGTGCCCATCTCCCCCATCTCTGCTCTGCCCTCTGGGATGCTGCAGGTGAGGTATGAGGGGCAAGGGCTCATGGCTGCTCACTTAGGGGGGTTTCAGTGGGGAAGGAGTGGAATTGAGGGAGGAAAATGATACAAGGGTGTGGAGGAGCAGTGTGAGGGGCTGAGGGCAGTGCTCCCCAGCATGGGGGTCTCCTCCCCTGCACTGGGTGGTAACAGCATCTCCCTTTCCTGAACTAGAGCTTAGACTATGACAACAGTGAAAACCAGCTATTCCTGGAGGAAGAGAGGAGGATAAACCACGCGGTGAGTCTTGCTGTGACCCAGCTGCCTGCTCTCCCCAGCCCATGGAAGCTGTTCCCCCTGCCAGGCTGCTGAGGGGGGCCTCTCCATGCCAGGGGAGGTTGTGCTCAGTGTGTGAGCTGGGATGGGTTTATAGACACTGACCAACTTATGATGAGCCATAAAATCTCAGGAGGAAGAACCCAGCATGGGGTGGTTGGAACGAGAGCTAATCTGTGTCCGTATGGTGTCATGGGGCAGGTCCCTGAGCAGAGGGACTTCTGGAGTCACATGAAGCATCTGCCCTGGGGGCAGCAAGAATCCCAACAGGAGTGGCCTGACAGAGGCAGGCAAGCTGGAAAAGCACCTTAGGGATCCCTCAGAGGGGCAAGGGCACTGGCTTAAAATAAATAAAATAAATAAGTTCGGTCAGCCCGCATCGGTGCTCCCTGGCTCTCCTCTGAGCTGCCCAGCCTTGGGGCTGTGTTGGGGTGGGTTGGGGTCCCCTGGAAGCTGACAGGGGCTGGGCTGGATGGCAGCAGGGTCTGACTGCTGTCTGCCCCTCAGGCATTCCGGACAGTGGAGATCAAGCGCTGGGTGATCTGCGCCATGATCGGGATCCTCACCGGCCTCGTCGCCTGCTTCATCGACATCGTGGTGGAGAACCTGGCTGGGCTCAAGTACAGGGTGGTGAAGGACAGTATCCTCATGGAGCAGTGACCACCAGCTAGCTGGGAGCTGCAGGATCTCTGCTCCTGGAAGCCACGAGAAGGGTGCTGGGGGCAAGAGAGCAGTGCTCCCCAGACTGGGTTTGGTGGCACAGACCCTGCTGCCCAAGGTGCTGCCAGGCTGAGCTGTGGCTGGGCACTGCCCTAGCAGATGAGGCTCCTCCCTAAGGGCACAGGGGCCCTGAGCAACCTGCTGTAGTGAGTGTTATCCCTGCCCATGACAGGGGTTTGGAACTAGATGATCTTTAAGGTCCCTTCCAACCCAAACCATTCTGTGGTGGGAGGGGTGGTACCCCAGCAATGCTGGTCTTTCCTTGAGCTGCTGCCCCAGACATTGACAAGTTCACAGCCAAAGGGGGCCTCTCTTTCTCCCTGTTGCTCTGGGCCACCCTGAATGCCAGCGTGGTGATGGTGGGCTCTGTGATCGTTGCTTTCATAGAGGTAAGAGTTTGGAACTGCTCTGGGTTCTTTAAATGGGCAAAGCAGGATCATGTCTCCAGAAAACATTCAAATTTATGTAACAGCAAATGTGCTTCTGCCAAAATGGCTCCTGGTAGCCCCAGCTCCTCAGTGTTGGCTCCAGCTGTGCTGTTGAGTTTCCCTGGGGCTGTCAGACTGCTGGGACGTGCTGCCCTTTGCTGGCAGCCTGGGGCAGAGGGTGTGCTCCAGCCTTGGGTGTGGGTGCAGCTCTCCCAAGCCCTGGCCCCAGCTCAGCCTCTCCTTGTTGGGTGTACATGAACCCTGACAGAGACCAATCTGGCTGGGTGCCTCAGGGTCACACTCTGGAGGACAAGCTGGAGACTGTGACTCCCTATGGACCACCCTAATCCATAGTGTCTTCCTTGTGGCTTTGCCCTTGTTCTCCCTGGCCACCAAGTATGAACCTTCTACAGCACCAGGCCTCTTGCCATGACACAATGGGGGAACACAGGACCGTCCCCAAGAACCCAGCCAGTTCCTTCTCCCTGGCACATTTTCCCTTAGGAAGTGGGTGCCTCCCTCAAACCTACCTCCAGAGCCTGTAGATAAGCTTTGGCCTCATCTCAGAGCCTCCCTGAGGGCGTGCTGGGTGCACCCTGTCCTGAGAGACAGGGTGAGGTGGCCAGTGTGTCCCCATCCTGTGTGTGACAGCCCCTCACCCTCTCCCTGCTCCCTGCAGCCCGTGGCAGCTGGCAGTGGCATTCCCCAGATCAAGTGCTATCTCAACGGGGTGAAGATTCCACACGTTGTCCGCCTCAAGGTAGGAAGCGGGAGGTGGTGGGATGGCCTGGGCATGTTGTGTCCTCATGGGGTGGTCCCTGCCCATGTTGTGGCAGAGGAGGAGCTGGCACGAGCTCCCAGCTCTGTGACTGTTACCCCCAGTGCCAAGGGTTAAACCTCCTGCCCTGGCATCAGCAGCTGGCGCTGGGAAGAGCAGCTCTGGGTAATTTTTTGCTCTGGCCAAGAAGAAAATTCACCAACCTCGTTGCCACAATGGGGGGCTGAGAATCACAAGTTCCCCCCAGTCACTGGCTCCTGCCCCAGGGCTGGCTGGGTCTGTGTCCTCCGAGGCTGCTGGGGTTGTGTTCCTTGTGCCACCCCTGTGATGAGCTGTGCCTGTCTCTCTTTTGCAGACCCTGGTGATCAAAGTCTGCGGGGTCATCCTCTCGGTGGTTGGCGGCCTGGCTGTTGGGAAGGTGATGACACTGCTGCCATGCTGGTACCCACTGCTGGCCTGTTCCTGTGCTGGGGACAGGGCACTGGGGGCCCTGTAATAATTCCCAGTGTATTCCCTGGTATCTGCTGGTGCCAAAGTGACTGGTGTGGCCAGGCTTGGGGAGCCCCTGGGGCACATGGTGCCACCGCACAAGCCTGTGTGTGGCTCAGCTGAGGGCAGGAGAGCAACAGCCTGTGTGTCCACTGGTAGTTGTCCCTGCAAATATTAGATGGGGCAGACTTGGGTGCTTCATTAGGACCTTTCTGGCTTGCTGGGATCTAAGGCAGGCAAGGGAAATGTATCTCCTCAGCTCGAGGGAACAAGAGGTGGCTGCAGGAGCCATTTGCTAGAATAAGGATTTCATAGAATCATGGAGTGGTTTGGGTTGGAAGGGACCTTACAGCTCCTCTCGTTCTACCCCCCTGCCATAGGCAGGGACACCTTCCACTAGACCATGTTACTGAGAGCCCTGCCCAACCTGGTCTTGGACACTTCCAGGGATGGGAAGGGGGAAAATGTCAAGTTCCCCAAGAGAAATCCTCCCATCCAGCTTCAGGACTGCAAGCTGGTGAGCAACATCCAACCATTCCTGTTCTTCCTTCTCCCATCTGACTCTGCTCTCTGACCCGTAGGAAGGACCCATGATTCACTCTGGAGCTGTGATTGCTGCTGGGATCTCCCAGGGAAGATCCACATCTCTAAAGCGAGACTTCAAGGTTGGTGTTGGGGTCCGAGGGGCTGTGCTGCAGGTGCCCCTCCTGTGCCAGACCAGGCTGTTCCTTGGGGTCACACTGGGGGCTTAGGATCATACAGGGCATACCCCCTGTCTCCCCTGAACCCATGCCTGTGCCCAGCCCTAAACCTGCCTTTGCTCTGATGTTTCAGATCTTCGAGTACTTCCGCAGAGACACGGAAAAGAGGGACTTTGTCTCAGCTGGAGCTGCTGCTGGTGTCTCAGCTGCCTTTGGTGCCCCTGTGGGTGTGTATCTTGGCTCCCTGGCACAGAGCACTGCCTGGATATGGATTTCCTCAGGATATTGCTCCCACTTGCTTGGAGACAGCTACCAGGATCTGCACAGAGCACTGCAGGAGCCCTTGTGTGAAGTGTCTGACCCCGCTCCAAGTTTTCCTGCTGTGCCATGCAGGTCTTGGGAAGAGAGGAAGGAGTCTTGGATCCCAAACGTTGCCTCCCTGGGATGGAGGAAGGCACTGAGGGGCTTCACTGCGATCAGTACATCTCTGATGGCTTGGTGGGCTTGCCTGAGCCTTTGCTGGAACCTGGGAGCTCTGGCTGGTGTGGGGCACATGGGATGGGGTGAATTTGGGTGCCTTGGCTGGTGCTCTGAGCCAAGGGTGTCATGTGCCCCTTGTGAAGGTGTTGTGTCTTGTACTTGCAGGGGGTGTCCTGTTCAGCTTGGAGGAAGGAGCTTCCTTCTGGAACCAGTTCCTGACTTGGAGAATTGTAAGTGCTGGGAAGCAATGGAAGACTGCTGGCTCTGGTGTGAGGTGTTGCCTTTTCCCAGTGCCCTGCAGCCCCAGGCCTCCTCTCATCCCTGCCCCAGCAAGGCAGCTGTGTGTAACACATGCCAGGGAACAGCATTCCAGCTCCCCTTCTGTGTCCTGGTCCTCAGGGGCTGAATTTGGACCTGTCTGAGCTCCATCTTGCTACCAACTCCTTTCCAAGGGAGCTGCCTTGGGCTGTACCACAGGGCAACAGAGAGGCAAAAGGAGTGAGCCCCTGGTCAGCTGCCCAAAGTGCTGCCTTAAGGAATGTGGCCTCTTGTCCCCACCACACTGTGGGCACCAAGCCCTACCCAAGGGCCTTGGGGGGTGGTTTGGGGTAGTTTAAGGGGCACGTAGTGAGGGAGCAGGGATGGGGGGCATCTGGCAGTGACTCTGGGCTGCATCTCCTTCCAGTTCTTTGCCTCCATGATCTCCACATTCACCCTGAACTCTGTCCTGAGCGTTTACCATGGCAATGCCTGGGATCTCTCCAGCCCTGGGCTCATCAACTTCGGCAGGTTTGACAGCGAGGTATGGCACAGGAGTTCCCCATGCAGGGCTGTGGGGTGGCCAGGGGGACTTTGGGGCAGCTCTGGAAGCCTCTTGCTGACACAGACTTGTGGTGTCCCAGCAGTCAGTGACTGGCTGTGGGACTGCAGATGGGCCAGGAGATCTGAAACCCACTTCTTTCTTGCTTGCAGAAAATGGGATACACAATCCAGGAAATTCCTATCTTCATCTTTATGGGAGTGGTTGGTAAGACAGTGCTGCCGTTTCAATTTGATTAGTCTGAATAATTTCCTCTGTTCTCTGTCTGGGTCTAAAAAGCTTTGGCATCCAGTTTCCTGGGGAGAATGGGGAATCCATTAAATTCTGGAGTAGAAGCTGCTTGTGGGGCTTATGCAGGGGTGAGAGCTGGATCCTGGCCCAACCCTGGTAGAAAGTCCAGCCCCTTTAACCCGTGTTGAGCAGGGTCAGTGCATTGCAGTTGTGGGTAGCCCCTTGCTCTCATGTGAGCTGCCCTTGTCCCCATGGAGTTGGCCTGTCCCTCACCTGCCTGGTGCCAGTGCTGTGACACTGGTCCCCAGCCAGCCCGCTGCTGCTGCCAGGCTCCTCTTGGTGGCAGGTCCTGGCTGTCTGCAGGACAGTGTCTGTGTGTCCCAGGGTTGCTGGTCACGCTGGGTGGGTTGTTGATGACCTTCACAGGTTCCCTGTGTTGTGGGCAGCCTGGGCCCTGCGTGCTGAGCTTTTTCTCTCCCACATGTGCAGGTGGGATCCTCGGGGCCCTGTTCAATGCCCTCAATTACTGGTTGACGATGTTCCGGATCAGGTAAGAGCTCAAGAGGTAATGAAGGGGATTGGTGTGGGTTGGTTGGTGCCTTCTGTGCTCTCTCAAAGCACAGAAGCAGGGCAAGATTGGGGCAGGATCAAACACCCATGCCCCTCAGCCCCGGGGTTACAGCTGGAGCAGAGGCTGTAATTTCTCACTTATAACATGAGCAACAGCAACCCTGGAAAATGCCACATGTCTCTCACTGCCTGCAGCTGGGGCTGTGACCCACAGCATCCCACCACTGCTCTAACCCTGCCAAGGATTTCCC